CTGGAAATCAGAATGGAGGTCATGCTGCCTGAATCGTAGAGGTCTTTTATTAGCCACTCGAGGTGCGTAGCCGTGAGTGGAATTGCTCCAGCGTAGACAAACTTAATGTAAAACTTACCGATCCAAGCGGGATTTGATCTCCGAAAAAACAGTGCTTGGCCGGATGAAATCCCGGTAAATTCCGTCTGTCGTGGGAATTGGGAGTTCCGCTCGTCACAACGGGTAAACGTTTCTAGCTGTCCAAGTAGGATTATTCGTAGCCTCACGACAAATCTGTTCACGTAAGCTACATATATCAAGTCATCAAATAAACATTACGAATAATCGCATAATTGAAATAATCATTACTCGAAATCGCAAAAAACTACAAAAAAAAATGCATTTATTACATAGAGGCTCAGAGGACGTGCTACAATCTTCGAAACGTTCTTATTGCCAAAGATTGACAAGGGACCCAACTTAACGCGCGAAATTAAAAGTTTTAAAGTGTATGGGAAAATATTGTTTTTGGCCGGATATAAAAGAGGATTCCTTCCGGTATCTAGGGCAAAAAATTCTTTTTATCAAGTTTCCCACTTAACACACATCCTTGAAAACAAAATAAATGGCACAGGGTTGCCATTATGCCATAAATTCAAAATCCGTTCTCCGGTTTGTTCAACTCAAAATTAGCGACCTTAGACTCACTACTATTTCAGTGGAAAACAAACAGTAGAAATGCCTGCACGCCACTATCGAAAACAAATATGTATTCAAAAGCAAACACACACGATGCATAATGTTTACCATAAACGCATTTGTATTTGTATTTTTGCAAAATCTTAAAGACTTCCTGCTGCTGAGTCATTATTAAAATTCGAAGTTTACGCCTTTTGATATGTCCACTACCCCGCATACCCCTAACACCGACATTTGATGATTCAATTCTTCTGCCAAAATGATCACGCACTCTCACATTTACATACATACATATGTATGTACGTACATATGAGTAGATATTTCTTAAGTTTTTAGATTCCCAGCATAGCTTATAGCGTTCTACTTTGGCTATCTAAACAATGGAACTTCTATTGCGGAAAATTATTATTAAAACACAAATTCGAAATAGTAATATGGAGCTACCAACAACAAGGTCCCCACGTGTGTGCCTAGAATTATTGACTTCATAGTTGAGGCAGAAACATTTGCAAACAAAAAGTGAATGCTCTTGTTGTTGCTGTTAGTGTTGATTTTGATCTTTCGCGCATCTATTTACTTTATGGCAAGCATAAAATCGCACGAAAGATGAAATGCGAAATGCGAAAGCACACACACAAAACGTTCACAACGCATGAAGATTCTCCAAAATGTGCTATCGTCAAGCGCAGCAGCAGAAGAAACCACACAAAAAGGAGGATTCTTGGAAATCATTAAAGGTCTGTCGCCTAGTAAAAAAACAGAAGACCAGTGTCGCGGCAGCATTTAACTCAAGGTTAACATAAAATGCTCATAAAGCGAGCACAAAACTCGCAAAAGTTTTCAATTCATTGCTTTAAAGGCGGCTGAGCTGGCGCAGATCTCACCAGCCCACTAATAAAACACAATTGTGCATATGTATGTAGAGAGTATTTGTATTTGTTTTGAAGCCATATGGAACACAGAGAATGTACATAGTATGTAAGTAATCATGGTATTTGCATACATACATATATATGTATGTGTGTATGTACATAGCTCACAGTATCACAAATTTGTTAAGTAATATAATTATAGCATCGGACTTATTTTTTTGTTTGTTTGATAATTGCCTCTTAGGTCCAAAGGCGTAAACGAGATCGGTTTATGGCCCTTCACTTTGTTTTCTCTAACAAAGTTCTTCCGGTTGTGTTTGAAACATGCTAAATCTATCCGGTATAGTAAATATAATATCGGATCATTGATAAAAAGTTGTTACCTATGAAAAGATATTTTTCCTGATTTTGATTATTCAGCTTGTATGGCAGCTACATAAATGCTATAATGAAATTGTGATTAAATTCCACGGGTAAATGATATTTCTAAAAAAAAAGGTTTTTTTTACTAAGTTGTTAGGACTGTCCTTTATTACTATAATTATGAGCTCGATTTGTCAAGCAGTTTGTTTACAGCTAATGCTTAAGTCGGTACACCTCGGTAGTGCATTGCGACTTTTTACAATGGATAAAAATATCGAAGAAAGAATTTGTCTCAAATTTTGCCTTTCTACCGTAAACAGGTCTCTGTGGACATGCTTGATCGTGCACATTCATTATAACTGTCGATGAGACAGGAGTTTATGAGTTTGACATACAAGCAAGTCAACAATCAACGGAATGGAGGGGGAAAAAACGAGCCGAATCCAAAAAAAATAACACGCCAAAGCCGCTGAAATATCAAGGTGATGCCCATTATTATTATACTCTCGCAACAAAGTTGCTAAAACGAGTATTATAGTTTTGTTCACATAACGGTTGTTTGTAAGTCCTAAAACTAAAAGAGTCAGATATAAGGTTA